TTTGCTCCTTTGCCGTATCTAATCCAAAGATTTCAAATTCAGCCTTCATGCACCCTCAGGACTCACGTACGCACACGTCAAAGTTTAAACTGGCACCATGCCAACTCCAAACTTAACGCGATCAATAAACTGCAGGGAGCTGCAATTTTGCAACCTTACTTGGTGCCCACTGTTGTGTCCGTGAAAGTAAATTACTTGTCAGCTCGTCTGCATCTCACGTACGAACACATGTACACACGTAAAATTTGACGTAATCCCGGAACCAGAGAAGCTGGAGTGCTGAAAATTATTGAGCGCTACCCAGAACCGTGTTTGACCAACTGCCGGTGAAGAAAGCATTCACGTTGCCACTCACGTAAGAGCACGTGAAATTTGACGTAACTCTGCAACCAGAGCAGTTGCAGTGCTGAAACTTTCTGAGTGTTACCCACGGCCGTGTTCGAGTAACCGCAAGCGAAGAAAGCATTCACTTTACCATTCACGTACGAACACGAGAAATTTGACGTAACTCTGCAACCAGAGCAGCTGGAGTGCTGAAACTCTCTGAGTGTTACCTAGGGCCGTGTTCAAGTAACCGCAAGCGAAGAAAGCATTCACTTTACCATTCACGTACGAACACGTGAAATTTGACGTAACTCTGCAACCAGCGCAGCCGGAGTGCTGGAACTTTTTGAGCCTTACCCAGGGCCGTGTTTGAGCAACTGCGGGCGAAGAAAGCATCCATTTAGCCACTCACGTACGAACACGTGAAATTTGACGTAACTCCGCAATCAGAGCAGCTGGAGTGCTGAAACTTTCCCGAGCGCTACCCATGGCCGTGCTTGAGCAGGCGCGATCGACGAAAGCATTCACTTTGCCACTCACGCACGAACACGTGAAATTTGACGTAACTCTGCAACCGAAGCATCCAGAGCACTGGATCTTCTGGGTATGGATTGGGATAATTTCTAACAGTCGTGGTGGCCAGTCGCAATTCTTTTAGCTAGAAGTATCTGCCAGGAAGGACGTACCACTGGCGAAAAAAAGCTGCGGGGGGAACTGTGCAAAAAACGCATCCTTGTACCGGCAGTTGATACGCCTTCTACTAGGTTTTTGCAGGGGCGCAGGGAACTGACCGAGTAATACATGGCATCTTATATTCGTCCGACAGGGCTATCAGTGGCTATCTCATTCGATGATTGCTTAGAATCAAGCCGATGTCAGTTCCAACTCTACAAATGAGTACCAATTTACCACTGATTCAATAAGGAAACTGTAGAGGCTGCCTCTGTCCCACAGGATTCTGGACACAGTCGGCGAGATCAGACAGTACTCGAGCTCCGTATGATTCCCGCCCTCGCGATTTACCCTTCAGCTCTAGAACCTTATATAGGAGGGGAAGGGGCAGAGAGGTCGAAGAGGTGATGGAGAAAGGGAGGGGGAGGGAGGCATAGCATTCTTACAGTACAGGAGTTTACAAAAGTACTGCACTCATAATACACATTTACACAGAATTAGACTAAGAAAAAACAGCACATGGGCCCCAAAGAAAATGAGTAACACACGGAAAATTCTGGGCACTTACGTCCTGGAATTTTTCGGCGACAAGTTGATTCGCTGTTCGACTGTCCACTGTCACCGAGTAGGTATGTTCGGTAAGCCAGTCGATTGCATTCGATCCGATCACTGTTCGCACATTTTGCTTTGGTTGTCGGCCCAGTGCCTGAATGCGTTGGCGCTCGGCCGGTGCATTGCCAATACGGATCAATTCGTTGAGGATCAGCAGCATTGGGTGTTGCCGTTCGTCGCGGTTCAAACCATCAAATTTTAGGCAGTTCATCGCTTCGTCATAACAATGCTGCAATATATTTGACATGTGAATTTATGCGCTGCGATCGTCACATACTAACAAGGTCCAGTTGCAGTGTTGAGTTGAGGCGTATATGAATTAATGGACCGAAACGTCTTATCTCAATGCCCCTCATTTCCTCATTTTTTCCTGCTTTGTTTCCAATACACATTCGTCACTTTGGCATCCAAGGTCAACCTGGATGCTACAATCGGCTTATGTTCAGGAATGGTCCATGACAAGTCAAAATCCACAACATACAGATATCCTCCCAATAAGAAAATCTTTAAAAAAATTAATAATTTTAGGTACGAGCGACGCAAATATGTGGAAACATTTCATGGCGATCAGGATGCGCTGCGATGAACAAAACTGTTCTGATCACACCACGTGAATTAGAATCTACGCACAAAAAACAACTACCGCAAAAGACCAGTTTTGCGAAATAATACAAACAAAATGACTGACGAACGTACCCAGTACCATTCCGATTTTTGGCTTGCTTCACGTTGCGTTGTAACTGTGAGAGCTGCATGTAAGGCTTTTGTTGCTGCAATACGCACCGATGCCTGAAATTTTGCCTCAAAATCACAAAATTCCCCGACTTAGATTACTTGTTATTATGTTAGATCAGTAATATTTTTTAATAAATACATGCACGCATTAATGCCATAATTCTCATTACATAAGAAGACAGATAAAAAGTCGGATATTAAGGCCTGAGAATTGACAAAATCTCATTTGGCACTTACCTCCCATCTGGGGAATCGTGTACCTAAACCGAGTTTCGATTTGCGTTTACGTCAAAACTTAGAGCACTTCAAAGATATTTGTAGCGAAATGCCTATTTCGCCTAGCGGACAAACTGTGAGGTTGCTGACCCTCAGCAGTCTCTGCAACACCAATAATAAAAACATCAACCGTCTTGCTGATTTTGACATGACATTTGCAGTAACAGACCTTCGGATCCCGGATCACTTTGAAGATATTGGAGAAGAAATTTGAGGCACGTAAGAAAAATGACGTCGACGTGTAGAGTGCTAGCTGTCGTGCCAAGAATGCGGCTGCAAGACGGCGCGATTCATTTCGTTCAGGTTCTTCCAGCCATTCGCAGACCTATTAAAGCATGGAAACTATTTTTGAATAATTCTGCAATTCTCTTATCAAAATCGGGGTCATTCCGGGATCACAGCCAATCGGGGTCATTCCGGGATCCAGGGATTAAACATTTCAAGATTACACGTACTCATAATGACTCAACATGCAAGAAATAGTCCAAAAGATAGAAAAACTGTAGCAGTGCGAAAAAATCAAAACAAAAAATACCCTCCGTATTCGGTATTTTTGAGAGACGGAGGCACGCAGAAATAGCCCTTGTCAACTGCAACCACTCGTTGGAAAAGCTGTCAATGGATTCCGACGCAGTTGCTTTGATGAAAACTAATGGTAGGTACTACGAATGGCTTTTTTTTAACAAATTCACTACCTGATTCATTGATTTTTCCACAAGTTCAGCGGCAAATGTTTTTGATGTTTGAATCAAATAAGCGATTGCCCTAGCAGCCAGTTTCATCCCGGCTTCATCACCTTGCATTAGTGCTCTCAGAAGATATTTCGCAAAGCGTGGCACACGTTTCGTCTCATCGCCCGCATTCTCGACAAGACACAC